GAGCTTGTCTCAAGCCATTCATCACCCAGCCAAATTTCACATTTGCCCTTCCTGTTTTTCCTATTATTAAAAACCTACCATTGGCTGCAAACGGAGTAAGTGCTTCAAATCCAGATTTAAATTATATTCAAAATGCAGATCTTCATTTTACAAAATGATACACCTACTTCAACACCGTGCTTATAAGGAAGAGAGTTCTGTGTTTCCATCATTTCAGAATACACAACAGAAAACAACTGAGCAATTTAAACCAATGACCTTCAGTTGCTCTCTTCATTGCCCCAAACTGATCATAAATATATCAAAAGAAGATGCAACAATGCTAGAATGCATAGAAAACTCTTGCTTATTGTAAAACAGATTTTACATATTTCATCTCATACCACCACAATTTTCATTCCATCACTGACTTAATTATTGCTACTGTGCTACTCTCTTCCCCTATGGAAACAGTGCTCTTCCATGTTTCCACTGCTGTCCTTAGAACTCCATGTTTTCTCCTTTTTCTGAGGTGAAGAAAGAAGACAGACAGACAGACAGACAACCACACTCAATGTAAGTTATTTACAAAATTCCATACTTACTCTTCATTGAGAGGGAAAAACTGATTCGTGAGACAGGCATGATAGCTGTACTTTTTAAATATGACACACTCAACATATTGACTGGGGCTCTTAAGCTATTTGATTTTGAGAGGAATAAAATCCAAAACTAGTAGTTGCATCCAAAAACAATACAATTAATTAGTTTGTTTCAAATGCTAGAATATCCAAAGCTGACAACATGGCTTCTCATTCGAGTTAAAAATTGGTGCCTTATATTCCCATCACTTCTATCTGTAGAAAAAGATCATTTAAATAGCTTTGCCACCAAGCTGAGTGGACATCAAGATTGAGTGTTCTGAGTCCAAAAAATGTTTCTCAAGTACCTTCTTAGCAGTTGCCATCTTCCACTTTCTCTCTTGTGCAAAATCAGTTGCCATCCACTGCATTTCTTCCAGCAAATAATCCCAGTGAGATTTTGGTCTTGGAGCTTCTTGGAGTTTAGGCAGTCGCCTCAGGGACCACAAACCTTCCTTTCTCAGTTCTGCTATTCGCTGATGGATTTGATTTTCCTTAAAAAGAAGTACACATAGTTACAATGAAGCTGCAGAATGCACCTAAAATAGTAGCCAAATAGAAAAATTACAATTGCTCCCACTTAATCAAAATAATTGACAGCATAAAAAGCTGTAACAGCATGACACACTGTGGTCATTACAAAAATGAAGTCTGAACACTGCATCAACAAAAAAATTAACAGACTAAATTCAACTTATACGTAAAGAGAATCACAGTACTTCAACCTGTATTACAAGAGGCACTTTGTTAAATAACAGGAGAAAAAAGGTTCACTGGGCAGCACAAAAAAAAAGTTACAAGATATATGCAAACTGCAGTAAGATAAACTTTATTTTCCATAAATTGAAATTGCAGATGTATTTATCCATAGAAGATAAATTATCTTCATTTTCAATACTGCTTGATTTTGTGAAAAAAACAAGTCCTCTATGATGTTTCTGGTAAATAAGCAAAACAACACCTCCAGCTATAAAAATAAGTAAGGTTGCAGTCATCTCAAATGAGTAGTTAGATAATATAAAGAGAAAGAATGCAACAATGGTACGAAGACCAGTAAGTCATCTTCAACTTCTAATGCCCATAAAAGCAAATCTCAGTATGTAAAGCAGAATAAATAAATAAATAAGAACCACAAACACTCAATTCCCCTGAAAAACAGCAAATTTTCGTAACTCAAACACATTGCTCATGTTAATTGTTATCTGTGTGTTAATGGTTCGTGAGTTTTTGGGAAAAACAAAAAAATCTTACCAGCTTTACTTGCTCAGCAAGCTTGTCTTGAGAGTTGTCCTGTGGTAATACTGCTGCATTCTGAGCTGGACTTTGTGTTTTAGGTGTTGCTGCTACTGCTAAGCCTGGGGGTTTTGATGCAATAGGAGACAGGGACTTGTTAGTTGCTGGAGAGGTCCTGTTTGTTTGTACTGGATATGTAGAAGGCGGTGTTGTGCCTGAGACAGTTGCTGGCGCAACGGATGAGGTAGGTGGTAGTGTATTTGCCGTAAGACGCTGAGAGGTCTGAGCAGGATCTGCAGATGGTCGTGTCAGAGTCACAGTCTGCTCAAAAAACACATTTGTTAGTGATGAGTTTAGGTCAAAATACTGTCTTGGGCTACACTACAGCAGAAAAACATGCAGACTTTAATTTAATAAAAAACGTACACCTGCATTTTTATAAGGAAAGGATTAAATGTCCAGTAGAATTTTTAAAAGTTAACATTTTTCATATATTTTCAGGAAGATAATGCTCTTAGATTTTACTGGGCATTGAAACAAACACATTTTCATCCCAATAAAGTTCCCGTACCTGTTGCTGTACTGTAGCTTGTGGCTGTGACACTTGGTTTGGCGTCTGTCCTTGCACATGGATTGCTGGTGGCACCTGCTGTTGAAGTGGTGCTGGAAGTGGAGTGGAAGTCAGGGGTACACTTTGAGGCTGGATCTTCACCTGAATCTGAGGCTGAGCTGGAGATTCCACTATCTGTGGTTGCTGCTGTGAAAGCTGCAGCGCAGCTGGGAGAGACGTCATAGGGACATTTGCAGGCTGCAGTCTCCCTGGCAGCTGCGGCGGAGGCGTATGCAGACTTGCTGCGTTCTGCACAGGAGGGCCTTTAGATGGGTCATACTGCTGTTGACTCTGTTTCTGTCCAGTCAGCTGTACACTTTGAGGAGTGGGAGGCATTCCACCTACAAAGCAAAAGGAAGCATAAGACAGATGAAATTAAAACGTTCAATGCTCTTTACTGATATAAAGAGGAGAACAACGTCCGATAGACTAATTGTTACTTACTTTGCCACAAGACATCATCACTTGAAAATACCACATCACAAACACAAAATAAATCACCATTACAATAAACAACAAAATATTTCATGCAAAGGACTGCAACTAAAATCTGGAGCACAGCAACTATAAGAAAAGATGTCAGGAAATGTCTTCTAAATGTCTTACACTTAAAAAAAACCAAAAAAAAACCCCTGGTGAGCTAATGGATTTTAACCTAAAACAACAGCATGAAGTCTAAAGAATGTTTAGTTCTTAACACATTCACTCTAACACATATTCTAAAGCTTGGCATGAGTAATGTATAAAAATTTGTCATGATGTTGCAAATTAGGAGGTTTCCTTTTCATAAATCATTGGCTCAGTTCCAGAATTCTCAGATTAACCATTTTGCATCAGCACCTGTGACGTATTTCCATGCCCACATGCACCTTTGGAGCCCGTCACTCAGCTCCTTAAACAAACCAGGCATTGCATACCAAGTATTAATTTACATGGAGAAGTGTGTGGTGGGACTAGGATCTTGGAAGGCCAGAAGCCCAAGTTTCTAGTCACATCACTAACATCTCCTTGTTAAATTAATGTGCAATTGGCATGTGGTGACACAGTACCTTGTGCCGTTGGCATTAGCTGTTGAAGAGGAACTCCTGAAGCCACACCCGGGTGCTGAAAAACCATCCCATGACGGCCCACTTCAATTCGTGGTCTCTTAGACGAATCTGTGATATTCAAATTCCATTTATGGCATGGTATAATGGAATGGGTTCAATTTTACAAAGCACACTACTACACATGATTCCAACATCGGCTCGGAAAGCTACGACTACTATACATGTGTAGCATTTATGAAGAACATGCTCCAAGGGCAGAGTCCCTGTAACTTCAAGCTGGCCATCTCCAGTCTTCTTAGCCAGAACATTCAACCTAAAAATGTCTCCATGCCTGCCAAATCCAGTCCTATATATTGTGAGTGGAGTGCACCCTTCACACAGCACCATTCACAATAGATAGTCCTAAGGATTTGGCAAATCCCGAGGTGAGGCAAAATGTACTTCAAGAGTTACAGAACAGTGGGCTCCATCAACTGTTTGGGAAAAAAAAAAAGAATTAAAGTGAAATTCTGTCTGTGGAACATACCTGCTGGTGCGAGTGCCTGCTGCCTCTTAAAAGCTTCAATTTCTATGGTGTTCACAGTCCCAGTTACTGGAGTCCCTGTATGCGTTTGCTATTGGGGAAAAGAAAAAAAAATCACAAAAATTCAATCTGTGGATAGTCTAACACCAAGGTGTAATTTACAAATGGATCTAAAGAGGCCAGCGCAGAACAAATCCTTCAGAACAGTTGAACAACAAAGAAAACGAGACTCAACTCACTCAATACCTGCTGGAAAGTTTTATATGTTCATAATGATCAGATACTCTTTGTCCAGTTTAAATTTCAAAACATTAACTAAACTGATGAAGTTAGTTATATATAATACATGTCTACATTTTTAAAAACGTGGTAACAAACTCAGGAAAATGGGATATGTAAAAAAAAACCCCAAAACAAACTTGTTCGATATTTATTTCCCTTTTTTTAATAAATGGAAATTTCCACTAATGTATTGTCCTTCATCATTTGCATAATGCTGCAATGAAGTCATAATGACATATTCATACAGCTGCACTAAAAAGCTGACATGACAAATATTAAACATTGCGACTTCATTACAGGATTAATTAGAAAGGAAATTAGATGAGAAAAGAGAATTTACACATAAACTGTATCACAACTAACAAGAGCCAAAAATAAGAAATGAGAGCCAATAGGTTTGTTAAATCTAATCCTTCTCACTGTGTGAAACGTCAGTAACACACAAATTAACTCTCGTCCTGAGGGCAGTTTAAGCTCACTCGAGTCTCCACCGCTGTCCCTCTCAGGGTAGAGCTCCATGACAGTTAGCCTTGAAATATATCAGGAAAAATTGTTGAGACTCAGAAGATGGAATAAAAGAATCTCAGCCGAGTTACAAGTTGCAATTGCAGTTTTCCAGATGCTAGACTTGTGCTTGTTTGCACAGCTGGCAAAATGAGTACCATGAAGAAACTCAATGAGGAGAAACATCATATTGCCATAAGGCTAATGTGACATCAGAAATTACTGGACATTTTGTCTGAGGATAAACATCACACAACTATGAATTAACAAGCTTGGAAGAGCACTATCGATATCGAGATGGAAAAGAAATCACTGGGGTTTGATTCAGCAAGTTGGAGTTTAGCTTCAGCAGTATTACACAGTGCAGGAAAATTTTATTTTAAAAATATTACAATTAATACTGGAACGATGGCAGAGAATATATCTTAGATAATCCTTTCAGCATCAAACTCAGATGGCAGACTCACGTACGGGATAACTGAAGCAAACAAGTTTGGGTATATGATAATTTCCCTGCTCTTTGGGCCTTCAGCAGTACTGGCATATACTTATTAAAGTCCGTCAGTGTTTGTGCAAGCCCAACTCTTTTCAGTGAGTTTTCAAGTCTTATTTTTAAGTTCTCCTCAATATTTAGCCATGCTATAGCCAATATTCTACCATGATACCTCATGAGAAAAATAAGGGCTATCCCAAGAAAGGTCTTAAGACATTCTATCAGAAAACACAAACACAGACTTTATGTATGGCAGCCTCCACATCCTAGAAAATGAGCTGATTTAGCACTCAGGTTCTCCATGTGTAATTTTCTCATGGTGAGAACCTTTGCCATAACAAGGTACAGTAAAAATTTGCAAATGTTGTGAAAATTTATCATGACAACATAGCAAAGACAGCAATTTCCCCAAAGAATCTTCTAGTTTTTTCACAGGTCTTTTCTTCTCTGATTTGGAAGATAAATTTTACCAATGTAAATCAAGCCTAAGGAAGTGAATATCAGTCTATACAGAAATAAACCACAGCAGTCACAACCCTCATCTTCAACGCTTCATCAAATTGTATTCATAAATACAGCCATCACCACCTAAAAGGACAGTTTCCAACAGTCCTTTTTGAGCTGAATACATCTCATCTCACTCATCATTTTATCAATAGCTATGAATTAATAACATTTAATCTCTTTGTTGCTGTGAAGGCTTTTATGGCCACTCTAGCGATACTGCTATAGCCTTGAGATGTGAATGTTGATTTTAAGAATCTCTTGACTCATATCCATCCCCGATGGTCATGGTTCACTGCCATGTCACACTCGATATGGATGAAGTTTTGAAATGTTTCTCTTCTCGTAAAGCAGACATGCAGCACATATCAAGTCCAATGGCCAGTGTCTGGCAGAGCACCACACACTGAGGCATTTATAGAATTTTCAAAATAAGTCACAAAAACTTATTTTCTACAATGCTACTGGATTAATTAACAAATTCAGCTTATGTCCTGTTTGCATCAAATGCTTTCTGGACATCAGTTTAAGAAAGTATGTTCTCCAAACCCTGGTTCAAATGCCATTTATTTCACCTGCACTCTTACTCTGGATGATTGCACACTCACAGTTTCAAGCTGCATCTCTACTTTAGATTTTCTGATTGACATTTTCACAAGAGTATACCTCCCAGCTGTCTGCATTATCACCGGGTAATTTAGGCCAGAGGCCTCAAAGAGCAAAGATGTTACATCTTTATAAACTGCAGTCATATACCACTAATATTAGACTAAAACTGTCCTAACTTTAATTAAAATAATGTAGTTCTCCAGAGGTCATAATTATGCAGCACGCCCACAATAATCATTCTGAGCGCTGCACTGAGGCACTCGCATTTGAATGATGATGCCGATCAGGACACATTATTTCTCTATAAACAGTTACAAAGACAAAGACTGATGGAAAGAGATGATGCTTTCTGTTAACAGTTTGTGCTAAAATGTTATTACCACAGTTACACAGAGAGTTTTGCAGGGTTTTAGCATGTACGTGGTAGTTTCTCTGAAAGAGCTGGGAAATGGTATAACACTTTCAGAAGTACTTCATCACTGGTGTAGGTAGAGGTTGACAATCATCCTCATCACTGTAATAAATAACTTCATACAATATTATGTATTTAAAACAGCTTAGATGAAGCCTGACTACCTAAGGAGGCTTCCAAGACAGTATTGACCCTAACAAAGAGCTCTCACTGCAAGCCCTTTGCTATGCAACTCGTTTGTAAAATATCACAGTGAACATCCCATTTGTAACACACAGGAACACAAACCATTTCATTTAACTCTCCACTCTGCAAAACCTAGGTGAAGGCAGTGCAGACTCTACAGCTTCCTTGGTGCAGCAGAGTAATTCATCCTCTAACACTTGCTATTCAAGTGTATATAATTGAGCTAAAAGGTAAATATTTCAGTGGCAGAGGAATTAGGGTGTATAACTTCTCAGGGTATGGAAGCAATGGTGTCTGGGTCACACAGAGTTAAGGGTAGCTGCATAAACCCATACTAGCCTGAATTTAAAAGCTGCATCATCACTGATCAACAAAAATATTAACTGATTAATTTCTTCACTTTGTTCAGTATTCACTCATGCAAAAAATAAAACAAGAGAAAAAGATTTAAAAATGTAAAAAAGGACTCATAATAAAAATAAGCAGTTCAGTTTCTTCTTCCCAATCTTTGTGGTAGAGCAAATGTAAAGCAGTTAGTTAGTTAAAAAAATTGTGTCAGAGGGTTATTATTGTTGTTTAAAACATTTCAGGGAAGGCAAATCCAAAACCTTCTGTAGCCATACTCAAAACCTTTACTAGATAAGGAAAAAAAGAAAAGAAATTTAGAAGAAATCCACAATTACAATGCCACAGACAAAAGAATCCGTATTATCACTATGCAGAATGCACAAATGAACCAAATGCATTAGGGAAACAAAAGACAAATAAACCAAAGTGAAAACATTCAAGCTGAAAGTTAATGAAATAAGCCAGCAACCTGGAGACAAAGATTTAACTTCCTCAAGGCTTCATTAATACTGATGCATTTGAAGATTGCAAAGGTTTTGTGTTTTGTTTTGTTTAGATGATAAGGGATGGGCTCTTGGGAAAATTCTAATTCATCTAAGAAATATCAAATCTGAATGAAGAAAAAAAATCTGGGATGAAACTACATTTTAGAACCATTGAAAAGTACCTGAAATGGTTGCTGCTGGGATGAAAAAGCAGCAGAAACATTTGGAGGAAGCTGGGTTGCTATAGCGACAGGAGTACCAGTCTGCCCATCCTTTCCTGTCACAACCTTTACCTGAGAGAAATATTTGGGGAAAAAAAAAAAGAAGGGAGAATCATTTTCTTTTTAAAAGTTTTTCTTTTTCTTTTTTCTTTTTTTTTTTGTACTGTTCCACACACTTGTTTTGTACTGATGGTACCTCACTGAAGAGGGGATTATAACTACACGCCCATCAGCACGGCTGGGTTTGAACACAGGCCGGTTCTGAAGAGTTCTGTCTCACTTTTAATAGCAGAACAGAGTAGGGCTTTGACTATTTATAGTGACTTCTCGCCACTGGAAACCTTTTCTTAAATCCAGTTAACATAAAAGTGTGTTTTAAATTTAACGATTGCTGCTCCTAATGGACAACAAATTAGCATGACAGACAGTTTGAACTTAAGAGAGCTCCAACATTTATTTAAGCAATGAGCACAGCCACCATTCGCTCTCCCCTTCAATTCCCAAAGTGATCAACCTTTCGAGGCAAGGGATGAAGTGTGTTGCTTTAGCAGAAAGTGATAAAGAGTGGGGAGGGGGAAATAAAACAGAAGACGACAAAAAAAAAAAAGTACAAAGAAAGAACATACTCAAAAGATGTCTTAATCTGTCAAAAGGATTCAGCATCTGAAAACACATCAAGACTTTTGCTGTTGCACTTTGCAAAATTCTCCAGCAGTTTAACAGACAAGCGGCTTTCACAAACAAAAGACAATCCATGACAAGAAGGCAGTGAAGTACAGCCAACTCCAAACCCCAAAGAGGAGGGGTAGAGCCTCAACTGATGTCAGTCGTAGTGATAGCACCAATTTAAACGAACCTATAGAATTTACACCCCCTAGAGATCTCTCAAAATGGGCATACTGTAGTTAAAAATACCTGGTATTTCAGCTGACAAACGCACAACTCAACAAGAACACCTAAACAATTTGACAAAATACAAATCAGGTGAAAAAAAAAAAAATGAATATCCATTGTCAAAAATTACAATAATGGGCTAGCTTTTAGGTTATTATATACATAGAGAGAGAAGTGATTCCTTCAAAATTATCAATAACTATCACAAGCAGAAATATATTTTTCCTAGTCAAGAAGTTTAAACCACGAAACAATGAACAAATTAAACTACAGCTATTATACTGTTAAAGTTTCCCACAAATTACAGCTGAACATACGATTGCTAATGATTCACACCTAAGAGAGTCATCAATTTTCACTGAAGATACTAATTTCTAACAGATATTTCAAAGCAATATGAGTTTCTTCACTAACAGGTTTGGTTTGGTTCTTTACAAACTGGCAACTGTATAGCCATACATAATTTTTACAAATTTTAAAAGGTATTTATGAGTGCCAAGTGATCAATTATATCTACCCTATTGCAACTGCTTGCCATGTAGGCTTGCAAGTAGATGCTGCACAAGTTAGGCACTGCTCCAGCACCCACACGGGTGCTGCGGGTCAAGAGCTGCGTGCATGGGTACAAACGTGCAGGGGAAGTTGCACAGCATCTGTCTGTGGCAAGCTTATTGCAAATCCTTTGCCATTACTAAACAGTGAATTCAAGTTATTAACTAACTTTAAACCTGTGCATAAATAACAAAGTTAACTTGTTAATGCCCAGTCTGCACGTGCTATTTGTTTGAACATTTAGATGGCAATCCATGCACAGAGCTCTGAGACAGCCTGAGTAACCTTATTCATTAATATGGACTCACATACATTATGATTCACGTGTCCTCTCTGAATAATTAGATTAATTCAGGTTTTTTACTGGCCACAGCAACACTGAACTTCAGTAACATCTATGGTTAAAAGTCACACGAGTCAAATAAAGGTTAACCTCTTACAAGACTTTTTGCTCATTCTTTTTTGGTTTGCATGAGTCTAGCAAGTGAAATTTAATCTCTGATTCCTATTTAGATTCATTCTGATAGCTTAAAACAGCTTCCACACCAATGCTATCATTATTTGTGTGCTCGCTTACATACTAACTCGGACAGTGAAAGCTCCTTTCACCTCTCTATTCTTTTCTTTTAAATACACACATCTAACAGCACACTCAAACCGACCCATGGAATCACACTACCCAGCAGAACTGCAGCCTCTCAGACCAACTATTTAAATTGCTGTACTTCATCAAGTAAAAATGATTTTTCAGGTACTGTCACATTCTCTAATACTTCACAACCTAGGTGCCACAATTACATCTACGACTTCATTTCAAAACATTAACAAATGGATTTCTTACCTCATCATTGATGACCTCGGATTGTTCTTCCTCTTCTTCTTCCTCCAGATCCAAGTCATTTTGCCTCAGGTATGCTTGCAGTGGAACGCAGTGTTTCTTCTTAAAAGCCAGAAAGTCCATCATATTCCCTTGAAGATGTTGCAGGAAAAACAGTTCAATCAAACATTCCTTAAAAGTTTCCTTAAGGATTTCCATCTGCTTGTGGTGATGATCCAAACATTGTTTTCTCATTTGAGCAGTCTCTTGGTTGGCAGGAGGAATCTCCTCCAATTTTTTGGGTTGTTTTTTCACTGTCGTGTTAACTGTAGGAGTAAGAGGAAGACTTGACAGCCCCTGTGGTACAGTGGCCCGTGAAGGACTTGTGGGAGGAGGTGGTGACGTCATTCCAAATGCACTAGGTCCTCCAACTCCTGCTATCAATCCACCAGAAGTCCTGTCATATCCAATGGCTCTACCCAGCGGCTGTCCCTGAAGCACTTGCTGCTGCTGTTGCATAAGTTGCCCTTGGATAATATTGCTGATTTGGGGTGGCAAGCTGGTAGTCGTAATGTGGCCCGGGCTAGTCAAAGATTGCATATTTGCTCCGCTAGCTACAGGACTTTGAGGACCGAGATGATGAATGGTGCCACCAGACTGCGAATGAGGTTGGGAAAGCCTGCGCTCCCTTACCGTAGCCGTCGTCCCAGAAGATGGAAGCTGTACTTGTGCAGCAGCTCCTTGAGCAATTTGTGCAATTCCTGGTCCTTCTTGATAAACAAAGTGTCCACCATTTGAAGGACTCAAGCTGATTTGTCTCACAAGCACACTAGCATCTACAAAGCCTCTAGTAGGGCTCTGGCTGCACATGCCCAGCCCAGGGCCCGGAGTGCCGGCCCGAACGTTGGGTAACGTTTGCACTGGCACAGGGTTGGGCTGCGTCGGGCTCTGAGACTGAACCTGCTGGGGCAGCGGTGACGTGACCTGAATATACGATGGGGATCCATGTTCAAACCGCCTCTGCTGGGGACTGAACTGAAAACTGGGTGACGTCGGGTTTGGAATTGGCAGTGGGGTCAGAGTGATCTGCTGGTTTCCTGAAGCCACCGGTCCGACGTTTTGCAGCGTGATGTTGACGTTCTGCCCAGCCACCGGACTCCGACTCATGATAAATTGCTGAATTTGGTAACTGGGGGACTGGGGCGCAGATGGACTTGCAGAAGGTGCAAAAGAAGCTGCAGGGGACTGGGGTAAATTTGCCTGTTGCTCTTCTCCCTCACTGCCTGTGAAGGACCTGGACCTCTGGAGCTGGCGTTGGGCATTCTGAGGACCATTACCATGGTGCATTCTCACTGTTCTAGGTGGTTTACAGTATACTCTAAAGAAACACACAGAAACAGAAATTCAGGGAAGGTAAGAATAGTTCTGTAATTGAAACTATTTGGTTACTATTTGAAAGACTACTTGATGGTAAGAACTCAGTTATCCTATCTCTGCAATTACTTAAAATGTTTTACATCAGCAGGCAAATTATCTGAAACCCTCATCACCACAAAAGCTCACTTAAATCCCTCACACATTTCTCTAGCTAACACAGTGCTATTGAATAGATTTACAAATGGTAAGTTCATAGAATCATAGAATGGTTTGGATTGGAAGGGACCTTAAAGATCATCTAGTTCCAACCCCCCTGCCATCAGCAGGGACACCTTCCACTAGACCAGGTTGCTCAAAGCCTCATCCAGCCTGGCCTTGAACACTTCCAGGGAGGAGCAGCCACAGCTTCTCTGGGCAACCTGTTCCAGTGTCTGACCACCCTCACAGTGAAGAACTTCTTCCTAATATCTCATCTAAACCTCCCCTCTTTCAGTTTAAACCCATTTCCCCTTGTCTTGTCATTAGTTGCCCTTATGAAAAGTCCCTCCCCAGCTTTCCTGTAGCCCCTTCAGGTATTGGAAGTTCCTCTTAGCTAGTCAGAATGACTTCAGACAATTTAAAAAAAATACTTTTTCCCTTTCTGTGGAACTTCAAGAACCGACAGTTTCCAATATCCAAAATAGCTACTCTTTTTTGGCTTCATTATTCCCAGTGTTTCAGCACTTTTAACACTTAATATAATGTTCTCGTAAAACACAACAGTTGCTTAAAATGTACAGCAAGTTTCTTCAACAGTAACTAAAAATATGATAAAAACAGACACAAACTACTCAACTTTATTGTTGTAGCTACTGAAGAAAAATTGCATCATGAAAAATCTCCCTACCGAAGATGTTTGAAAAAGTATTGCACCCAATACTTAACTCTGCCTTCTCTTTCCTTCAGAACATGCCCTTAAAGAGATGAAAATTAATCCAAATCTGCATTTAATTTAAAACGCTGTTTATTGAACCAAGCTATCCAGAAATCCAAAAAACATTCTGGTTTTGTATTTCAATCGGTGATAAACAAAAATTCCACTGACAGGCAGACTCAGGGCTGGGTGTTACACAGGAGCAGCAACAAAAAATATATTTATTTATTTATTTCCAAATCTCTCTCATCGTTTGAAAACAACAGTTTCGTTTTTGGTATTTCAGGTCAAACACACACAAGTATGTGTCTTTGCTCCTAACTCTTAACTCGGTTACACGTGTGAACACGGCAGCAGGACCGGACAGGTACGGGATGGGGCTCTGCCTGCCCGTTCCTCCTCTGCTGCTGGGGCAGGGAAACAGCACAGCTCCCCGCTCCCCCGGCCCGGGCTGTCTGCAGCAACCTGCTCAAGCCCTGGGGATGGAGATATTCCCTTCCCTGTCCCTGGGGATGGGGATATTCCCTTCCCTGCCCCCAGGAAGGCGCGGGAGCAGCGCAGCGCTGTCACACCCGCGGCTGCATAGAGGAAAGGGGCGGACGGAGAGGAGGGGGTCCCTCAGGCCGGGAGGTCCGGGGCAGCGCAGCCGGCACAGGGACGGGAACACCGTTCTGGGCAGGTCTCCTCCCTCCCGCTCCTCGGAGCTCAAACCTGAGGCAGATCCCTCAGCAGAGCGGGAAGAGAAAACATCCCGCTCCTGACAGGCGCCTTTTCCTGGAGACGGAATAACGCTGCGATACTTGGCGGTATTGCGACTCTTTCACGGCACCGACACCAAATAATTAAGATTCAAATGATATCCCCTATCTCCAGTGACAAGGTCTTATTATTTTA